CGTGCCTGGTAGGTTGTCCAATTCAACATATGGTTCTTACCCGTCATCGGAAAACTGACCTTTAGGCGTCAGCCTCCTGTCTTAGGTTGATACCACTGCAATTGGATCATACCCGTCACTGACTACCGGTCCAGCATATAGCCATTGGCCCCCAAATTTTAGACCATCACTAGCAGAAGGGAGGAGGATACAGAAATGCCACGACACCAAGCCAATTGACGGCTCCTTGGGAAAAATTGCATCACTGGTGACACCATCAGCAAAGATATGCCAGCATTACCACAATTCGCTGCACCAAACGATAGTTACATAGTCCAGGCAAGTTCTGCAAGCAGTTCAAAGCAGAGGGGTCTATCAATATGTCCATTTCCTCCCAAAGTAAATCGAGTCCTTGATTGAGCATTACTTGTTGAGTTATATTCATTGATGCATCAGTTTATACAGTTTACTGTGATAGCTATCATAGAAGCTGTAGTCTGGTTTTATCTTTGTCTTCACCGGCACTGGGATGGAGATAGGAATTCTGGCAATGATGCTAAAGAGACATTATCCTGAACAGAATTATTAAATATGATGAAAAGGAAAGGTGAAAGTAAACAAACAGATCTGTTAACCTCCTTTAAAAACAATCCTTAACAGCTGTTTACCTAATTTAAATTAAACCATTTAAATCACGTGAATAAAAAAAATAATAATAATAATTCGGATCCATTTTTTCATGAGCATTCCTCATATAAGATCTATGGACATACGCACACACAGACATACAACACAAAACACAAATGTGCACACAAACGTACAACACATAAGACAATAGTAAAGGCCTTGTAGCTTTACCTAGGTGAAATCTCCATTGCAATTTTTAAAAACTCCAGTCAAAAAATAAAACTGATCAGAAAAACATTAACCTAGGTTTGTATGAGCTCAAAAAATAAAATAGAACTTTATGATGTGGGAAAAAGCAATAATAAAATAGATATTGAAAAAAAAAAAGCACCCTGGTTAATCACTGTCGCAGATGTAAGAATAGCCAAGCTGGAGCTCTGGATATCAGCTGTTATGGATTTGAGTCAAATCATCTTCTTTTTGGACTGTAGAAATTGCTTTAGTTAATCTCTCTGGAATCCAAATCGGCTGCTGTTCTCCCTGTAGAAAAACACAAACAGAGCCCCGACTCCAGACAATCACTGGGTCAGGACCTTTCCATTGTCCTGTTAGAATATCTTTCCAAAGTACTTTAGGCTTATGTACATTTTTTGGATACATATGCCTTCCCGCAGCGCTAAGTCCTGATGAATCCAAATTTAAAAAGTTTAGAGTAAAAAGCGTTATTTTAAGTTTATCTTTGGGGGATATATACCCCCTTCCAATTCCCTCTTTTTGCTTTAATAAGTACATTTTAATCTTCTATTTTATCCAATATTTGACTTTAAACTTCTCTCTTCTACCTTTTTCTATCTTGAATATCTGTATCTAATAGTTGTCTTAGCTTTTTGTATTTTTTTATCTGAAATACCTTTATTTGACATTTTTAACCATTTTCTATCTTATTTCTATCTTCTAGTTTTCTTCTAAGGTTTTTATATTTACCCTTAGTTGCTTTTTTCTCTCCTAGTTTTCTTTTGTTTCCTATTTTGTGGGTTTAAAATTCTTGTCTTTCTACATCTTTTTTATCTTCCTATATCTTTTTTATCTTTCTACATCTTCTCTCTTTTTTTTACCTTTCTGTACTTCTGTTTTTAAAGTTTTCCACTTCAAATTTTTAATCTTCTTTACTAAATCTTTTATCCTATTATCTTCTCATTTTTTAAGCAATGCCTTTAAGATTAACTAAGCTTCTTTCCTCCATCATGAAGGCATTTTAACCACCTTCAATTTAACCTTTTAAAGCCTTTTGCAACTTACTTAGACATTTTACAACTTTTTACTTTACCACACACAGATTATCTCATCTAGAAACATTTCTCTCTTTTTTTTAACCTTTATATTAAAATATATTTTCACATCTTGAATTTTTTATATCTCTTTTGTAGCTGTTAACGCTTTTTATAAATTCACATTTTGAAACAACCCTTATAAAATTTCTGATTTAGACAAATTACTCCACTTTAATAAGATGAAATACTTTCATGTTTTTTTATGGTACTATAATACTATGATTAAAACCCAACTGAAACTTCTTATACTCTTTGTATATAAATTACACATGATAGAATCTTAACACTTAGTAACCTTGTTTTAGCAAAGACACAGACCAAAGCAATATTAAACTTTTTTTCCATTTACCAATTTATGAAAACACACATAATGTTTAAATACATTACCTTATGGAACTTAATAAGTAAAGAGTACTTGATTTCATATTTAGTGGTTGATATTTTAACACTTTAGCTTTGTAAATTAATCAGATGTCTGTAAAAACCAATATCTTAGACAATTGTAGTAAACAGAACTAGCCATCTCTTTCTTGAAGAAAAATCCTTCTACAGGATACCATGATGGTCCCATTGATATACTTAATAACTCGTCTTTAAAAAGCCAAGGGCTACATTTTTGTATTGTATCAACATATGCCCTAATTGTTCTTGGTCTTACTGGGGTACCTCCTTCCTCTAACAATTTCTCTTGCTCGGAGGCGAACAACTTCAAACCTTGAGTCAACCATTTTCCCCAGTTTGCCTGAGAAAGTTCTAGGAACAGGCAACTTGAAATAAAAACAAAATAAATCAAAACAATAACACATTGTTTTTTGAATTGGTCACCCATTCTTTCGCTCTTCCTCAGGGGCGAGCAATTTCACTTACCTCCAAGTTTTAGATGTTCCCCGCGTGGACCACCCCAGGAAACCCTGGGAGCAACCCCAGGCCAGCCTGTCTGCTCAGCACCCTCAAGACCTGGCCCCTTACCAGCTGTGCATCCTCTCTGAGTCTCGGGTATCTCGTGTTTAGAATGGTGGTGTTGGAACTGGGAACCCCAGGCTGCTCCTTGCCATAGCCTTTTATGATTTGGTCCCCTGCTCTGACCAGGGCCTGCCAAGTAAGCAGCCACCCTTCCAGGTTGGACTAAGGCCTGTTCTTGGCCTGAGTCATTCCCAGGGCTGGCCCCCATCTGCAGTTTGGCCTTGGGACAAGCCTGGGAGCCTCAGGGTACAAGGAGGAGTGGGCTTGGGCTCTAGTGAGTGGTGGTGACCTGGGAGCAACCACACCAACACCGGCCACTGGGGCAGCAGAGACCTGAAAAGGACTTTCCAGGAACTGGTCTCAGGTGACCTGAGCCAGGGTCCCCACTGGCATCAACAGGCCTCATTGCTCAAGGTCCCTAGCAGCCTGGTGGACTTCCATCAGTGCTGGTAAGGGTCCTGCAGCCACTTCTGCCCAGTCACACTGGCCACCTAGAAGTTGCAAAGAAGGTGACCCATGATGTTTTATTTTTAGGGTCCTTCTCAGGAAGATGGCCTACTATGGAAAATGCATTGATGTTGTGATAGAGCAACTGGACAAGTTTAAGCCTGAGAAGGACAGTCCCGACCAGTTCCTGGAGGCTGCATCCTCCTCTCTGCAGGTAGGGTCAGGGCAGCACTGGACTTCTGGGAGGCTGGATCACTGGCATTTCCCTCTCAAGTCCGTGCCTAACAAAGGCCTCCTTCCTACCAGGAGAGGCCCCAAGGTGAATTTCCCTCCCAGTGTGGCCAGCAGCGTTCTTGGGAGGCTCCCAGCACCCAGGTGTACATCACACTGGACTATGTGGGAGACACCTAACTCTGGATCATGTCCCTACATAGTTCTGTCATCAACATAGATAAGAAGAGGGATCCCTGAGCCCCTGCACACCCACCCCTAGTTTGGAGGGTCTATAGCTGTGTTCACAGTGGCAGCAAGTGGCCAGGGACCTCCAGAAGAGTCAGGGGTAGGCCAAGGCACCGAGGCCCTGGGGAGCCACTGATATCCCCCCACCTCCTTCATCTTTCTGCTCACACCTTGAGGCTGGCCACCTATGCCTCAGCTCCTGCCCCCACCCCAGGGATCCCTTTCCATCTCTCCCCAGTTCCTGTCCAGAAACTGGTCCCCTGGGATGTAAAACCTGGGCTTGGGAGAGGAGAAGCCCATGGTCCTCAGTCTGCCTCGCTTCAGCATCACCTGCCACCCCAGCACCTTACCCCACAAGGACCCTCCCTGTCATCTGATCCCTATCCCCCATAGGCGGTCTCTGACCCCATGTCCACTGTCCATCAAGGACAGGTGCCAGGGGAAGAGCTGGGGGACTGTCACATGGGTGCTCCCCCATCCCACCCAGGAAGCACCCACCCTTGAAGGGGGTGTTGTCACAAGTGCATTAGTGGGAAGGGGGCAGGAAGAACTAGGCAATCTTGCTGCATGGGCAAAAGGGGGCCTTTACTAAGCAATCTTGTTGCATGCTGCTGGTTGCTGCTCTTGTTTGAAATGGCCTCAGTAGGCTGTTACTGCCATGGCCCCAGGGAGGTGTCCCTGGCCACACCCCAACCCATTACCTGCACAGGTATCTCCTACTGAGAGACCTGCCCTTAGGAAGCAGCCAAAAAGCCCAGAGGCAGGAAGGTGTGGGCAAAGGCTGCAGGGGCTCGGGGGGGCCAAGGCCTGTCATGGGAGAGAAAGCTTAGAACCTCTGACTCCTAATCCCCAGCTTCTAGAAGAGTCCTTCCTCCAGCTGGGGCTGCAGTCAGCAAGGATGGAGGCCCTAGAGGGCACTGGGCCTCCTCCCCACCTCAGCACCTCCTTGCTTCCTGCTCTTTCTCTAACAACCTCATCATTGGGGGGACACAATGAAAACAGCAAGGGTCAGAACCGGGGAAGCCCTTGCACAGCTTGGCCCAACTTCTGCCCTACACAGAGCTGGATCCCCTTGCCCAGAATCCTGCCCTGGAAGCCAGCCCAGGGCCTGGCACTCACCTGTCACCTAGACCCGTGACCTGGACCCACCTGCTCCAGGGCCTGGCTTGAGCAGCTCCCTCTCTCCTTCTTTCAGCCACAAAGGCCTCTGGATCCCAAGTTCCTGCAGCTCCTGTTGGCACCTCCCTTTCCACCAAGACTACCTGCCCACTGTCTGGGGCTCGTCCCACGTCCCTCAAGCTTCTGTCCCAGTCTGTGTGCTACTATAACAGAATGTCTGAGGCTCGGTAATTTATGAGTGACAGAATGTATTTCTCCCAGTTAGGGGAGCCTGGGAAGTCCAAGATTGATAAAGATGCTGGCATCTGGTGAGGGCCCTCATCCTGTGGCAGAAGCCAAGAAGGAGAAGAGGCAGAGCACATGCCCTCTCCAGGGTTCCACCTAAACACAACCACAAGGGCGAGTCCATGTCCATGCAGGTCTTGTAGGTCAAACAGCCAAACACAGCACCCTCCCGGCAGTCTCTCCCCACTCTCCGCTGGCAGCTCCAGGCCCTACCCCCAACCTCCTTGTCACGGAACCTGTAGGTCCAGCCTGGCACAGTTACCCCACTCTGCAACGTGCCACTGGAGCCCAGCACTACCTGTGTTGGTCTCCTTCACCGGCACTGCTCCTTCTGGGCTCTGGCCTCTGGTTGTCGGGGTCCTCAGGAGGCTCTGGTCATCTTGCCTGCTCCCAGCCCTTCCTCCAGCCCTGACCCTCTCTGAGCCCCATGCCCACTGCTCTGGCCACACTGGTTTCCAGCTGTTCCTAACACTGACCGTTCCCCCTCCTGGTCACCTGCCTCAGCCCACAGTGGGGAGAGCGGGCTGGTTCTTCAAGCGAGAAAGAGAGAGCTACTGTCTTCGCTTCTTGAGCGCCAGGCAGGAGCGTGAGTCACAGCAACAGTCTGGGGTTGGTCCTGGTCCTTGAGTCATGTGTGACCCATGTGTGTGCCTCTCCCTGGGGATCCTAGCACCCCGACACCATCCTGCAGACCGGCAGCAGTGAGTGGAACTGGCGCAGCCAGGGGCACTGGCCCTGCACCTCCGAGGCCGGCACTGGCGTTCACATGGGTGGCGGAGCAGCACCTGCCTCACGGGCCCTGGCCCTTTTGCTCACTGCAAAATGTCCCCCTGAAGTCAAAGTGGAACGGGGCCTTGGAGACTGACCCAGTTTGGACAACTCGCTTTCATCTCAGCTGTAATACACCGACTTCCTCAGGCCAGGGCTGCAGATTGCCACCTGCCCGAAAGTCATACAACACAGAAACCAACAGGTGGAGTCTGATGAAGGCACGTGGAAGGCTGGGCTGTGCCCCAGATGTGTCACAGGCCTGCAGTCTACATGAGTGTGAGTGAGCTGAAGCCTGCGGATGAGGGCTCCTTAATTTAGGATGGGCCCTAACCATGAGGATGGCCTTGGAGGAAGAGGGAGTGTGGACACAGGCACAGGGAAAAGAGCACATGGTAACCCAGAGGTGGGAAAGAAGGCCACACTGCAGCAGAGGCTGTGATCTGAGGGAGGCAGACATCAGTCACCAAGCATCGAGACCCGTGACCCTGCTAGAAGGGACGGTGGGTGGGTGTTCCTCTGGTGCACCTCCACTCCAGACTGGGCCTCCAGAGCCATGAGAGGCTGTTCTCTGTCTCCAACACCCTGTTTGTGGTCCATTTGCTGCAGTAGCCCCAGGAAATCCGCCTCCTACTGGAGGCCTGTGACAGAGGGGCAGGCTGGGAACAGACGGGGCCTCAGAACCACCCAGAGCTCCTGCGGGAGTGCTGGGCCCAGGACTGGGGGAGAAGTGGGCCTGTGGCCCACTAGACTGGGGAAGTCTGAGGACTGATGGTCTGGATGGCATCCAGCAGCCTGAGTTTCCTTGCCTTGGCTCCTGACCTGCCTCAGTCTGCATCTCTGACTGACAGGTCTTGGTAATAGGGCTTGCAAGTCCTGAGCTGTGGTTGATTAGCACCAGGCCCTGTCCTGCCTGGCCCTGGGCTAGCTCCACAGACCCAGAGTGACTCCTACAGGAGGCCTGGTGACTGTGAAACTGCAGGGATCTGGACCTCTGGTTCCCCTGCCCTTGGGACAGCTGTCATTGCTGACTGATTTCCCTGGGTGGGGACTTACCAAAGCCCAAAATTTTGGTGGCCACAACCCATGTCTCATGGTCTCAGTGACAGCCTGGCTGGGAATCAAGACCTCTTTAGTGCAGTTGAGGCCTTGCCCTGACTCCTGGGAAAGGGAGCCTACCTGTCCAGACCCAGAACCCGGGCCAGGGCTGAGTGCTCAGCAACCTCTCACCCCATTCCCAGTTCCAGGATCAGTCTGTCTCTGTGAACCGCTGGACACCATTGTCCTGGGAGCTGCAAGCCCAGCATGGTTGTCCTTCCCCAGTTGCAAGGACCTGGCCTCTGGCCCAGCCTGGCCCATGGACCCAGGTGCCATTTACTGGCACTGCCTCGTCCCACTTAGCCCTGCATCTGCAAGGTCCTCTGCCCGATGCCTCTCTGCCAGGCCTGCCTTGCCCAGGGCTGATGGCGTCAGAGCCCACACCTGCTCTTATTAAAAAGACATTGTCACACATCCCCAACACACTCGTAACTAATGAGCGAAAGAATCCCTATTGTCTTAGCCCCAGAGACCAGAAGAAGTTGTCCAGAGTCCTGAGAGTCACCCAGCCCTCAGCACAGATGACTCATCACCCTCTGACTCCTAGGCCCAGGACCTGGGCTTCCTGAGACCCAGCAGGGGTGGTGCCCTCTGGTGTGGGTGCAGCCTGCAGTCAGGGAAGCCCGAGGGGAGGGGGACAGAGGCTGGTGGCTGAAATGAGAGCCAGCTCAGCAGCCCTGCCTGTACTCACAGGTGTGTCCAGTGACCTTGTAACTAGAGGGAACAATTGATAACCTCCCATGGCATCTGCTGCCTCTGTTGAATGAGGAAGAGGAGGGTCTTCATTCCTGTGTCTGGGACACCAGAGGCTCAGCCCGTCCTCAGGGAGACGGGCAGTGGGAACTGAAGCAAGCAGAGGTGACTTGTCCAGGCCCTGGGGGCCATCCCAGCACCACAAAAGAAAAAAAAGTAACAAAAGAAAGCTCATCTTGGGTAACAGCCGTGAGCCACAGTGTCGGGCTCTTGCTCTGCTGCGGCTCTGAGGCCTCTTTGGCTCAGCTCTTCCAGAGGATTTTGAGGCTGCAGGGCCTGCTGAAAGAGGGTAACCGGCTGGAGCAAAGCCTGGCAGTGATTTTGAAGTTGTTACCGAAGTAGCGCATGCCAACTGCAGGGATGTGTCCCCTTGTCTCTCCACGCCTCACCCCCAGGGGTCACCACCCTACTCTCATCTGACTCCAGGGCCTGGAGAGGCTGAAGTCTGGCTAGTCCCATTTCCACGTCTACAGTGCATGGCTCTGGACGCACGTATGTGCCTGCGGACGGCCTCCTTAGATTCCTGGAAATGCCCTTATTGAGCTCAAAGTTCTGGAAAACAAGACTCTCTCAACCCATTTCTGAACTGTTTGGGGAAAGGCTAAGCATCTATCCGCACCAGCCCTTCCCGTGCTGGCTGGAGACGTCAGACCCTTCATTTCCTGCCACCTTCAAAAACTGAAAAACTTCTCAGAACTTAATTTGAAAACCTTCTTTTCTTATTGAATAATTAACGCGTGTCCTGCACAGGCCACAACCCAGAATGTTCCAAGGGGCCAATGGGAGAGTGGCCCTGGGGCCACAGGGGCTGTGTGGGGACCCACTGGTCTTGCAGGCTTTCCTGCTGGCACTCCCCTCACCCCTGTGTCTGGGACCTTGCCTGAGCCCACTTGCTAAGTTACTGTGGTAAGATGCACAAGACACAAACGTCCCGTCCAGGGGCACTGGGCATGTGCAGGTGCCATGAAGCCACTCCATCCTGCCTGACTCTGGACCTCCCTGTCCTCAGTGAGGGAGGTCCCCTGGGCTTGTCCCCACCACGCCGGTCATTCCCCTCGTCTACCTCAGCCTTGCCCCGCCTCGCCCCCACCCCCAGCTGCTGCCCGCCTGGCTGTTTGCCCTCCAGGGCCTGAGCCCCCTGAAGCAGGCGTTCGTGATGGAGGTCCTGTCCGGCTGCCTTGAATACTGGAAGTTGCTGACCATCGTGGTAGACGCCTTCTACGTACGGGATGGCCGACTCTGCCTCTGGGCTGACTACAGCCTCTTCCAGGGTGGGTGCCCATCCCACCTGTCCCTAAGCCCCAGGCTGCTGCCACTCCAGAACCAGGGGCTGAAGGGGTGGTCAGACCTCAGCAGAGCCACCAAGGGAGCCAGGGGCTGCTCTTCAGGCTGCAGAGGCTCCTGCTGCAGTTCCACCAAAACCTGTGTCCTCACTGAGACTCATGGTGACCTGTGAGAGGGTGGACCAGGGTGGAGTGACTCCTTACTTCACAGATGGGGACACTGAGATTCAGGCTCACGACAGGGTCAAAGGAGTCTGGCCCCCGAGGGAAGGTGACTGGGCAAGCCTGGCGCCTTTCCTGGGCCACTCCTGACCCCTGACCCTGAGGCCTTGGAGCAGGCCCTAGGCCACAGTCTGGACCTCGCTGAGTCATTAAACACAAGACACCTCTGGCCTCTGCCTTTCCTGGTGCAGGCTGGCCCTTGTGCACACCCAGGGAGGGGTGGGGGCTGCCCAGTCCTGGTGGGAGGCAGTGGGAGAGGCTGCAGGGTCGGGCGACACCATCTGTCCCCCAGAAGAACCTCTGAGAACTGATCAAATGGGACAGCACAGTGGCGGCAAACCACGGCCGCTCTAAGACCTCGCTCCTTGTTGTCTGGGGATGTCCATCCTGGGACCTTCAGCAGGAGCTGGGTGTGTGTCCTGGGCCCCCGCGCAAGGGGGGGGTTGGTGCGCCTGGGAGGCCTCCCTCTGGCGATTCTGCAGCCGCACCCTCACGCTGCACCCCCTCTGCAGTGCTGTGCTACCTGGCCACGTTCCAGCTGGATGAGCTCGGCTTCCAGCTCTTCTGCAGCATCATCAAGTCCCAGCCCACACGCAAGACCTGCAAGGTGAGCCCCAGGATGGCTGCCGCCAAGGGAGGCCGCTGGTCCCCTGGGAGCACCTCCAGGTTTCTTCCAATGAGAGGAACTCTGGTGGGTTGTTCTGTTCACTTCTGGGGAGAATGGGCTCATTGCTGCAGGGAGATTTGATTGTGCTCCTGTGTTCTGGTGGGTGGTACCTTGCACTGTTAGTGATAAGCCAGGGCAAGGAGAAGCCCTCGGGTCAGCTGGGCCTCTGGAGCCTCCTGGGGCTTCTCCACCTCCTGAGCAAATGCTAGGCCCAGCACAGCCTCCCCTCCCTCCAAGACCACATACTGATGCTGCCAGAAGGGATCCCAGGTGCCTGCTGCCTGCCTGCCTGTCCACTGCCCACGTTTCTATAGGACACTCAGTGCACCTTCCCTGTGGGCCAGGCTTCCTGAGCAGCCCACAGTGCTGTTCTTGCTTCACCCTCACACCGTCCTATGAGGCTGCTCCTACATGGTGCTCATCCCTCACTTAAGGCAATGGGGACAGAGAGGTTAAGTGTTCAACTGATGTCACACAGCACATGAGTAGTGAGCACATTCTGTTAGCCACTGGCTTGGTCACTGGCATGGGAATGGCTTCCTGGAGAAGATTGAGGGAGAGGCTACAGGACCAGGAGTGCTGGGGAAGGGGAGACTGCAGCAGCAGCACCCACCAGATCCACAGCCACAGTGACCCAGGATACCTGCTCATACGGCATCTTGACTATCTAACTGGTAAAGGAGAAATGAGGGGCAGCAGCTGGCGTTTGGTCTGTCCAGGACATTTTCCTGCTCACATGTAAACACGAGGAGCTTATAATGAATAAATATTTGTAGTTTTCCTAAGCAAGGGGTTTCGTTTTTGTGAAGGGACTGTTTTCCGAGAAATGCTTGAGGCTGGCCAGGGCAGCTTGCCCAGCTAGAGGACCTGTGCTTGGCTGATGTCCACTGCCCATGCTGGACCCTGGTGATGCCAAGCAAGGTCCATCCTCATCTGGCCCTGGGCCCTGTGGTGGTGACAGCAGGGGCACCAGTGCAGGCCACACATTACACTCCTGGTGCTGGTCACTGACCAGCCCAGACAGCCCCATGTGGATTCCCAGGGGACCAAGAAGCTACAGATCCCGCGGTCGCCCTTGGCTGATGCCTGGCCCCCCTAGCCACCTCAGGGCTCCAGGAAGACACCAAAGGGGCCTAAAAGACAGGATGACCCCTCTGGAATGCCATCACTGCTGTGGTCAGAAGTGGTAGTGTGCCCAGGCTGGCTTTCAGGAGACCACAGCCCATGGCCTCCCCAGATGTTACCCACCATTTCTGGGAGGAGTGGCCCTGGGATGCTCCAGGAGGGGGCCAAAGTTCCTGCCAGCCCCTCCCCACATGCTGACTGAATCCACTGAGAGCTAGAGGACTGCCTCAGACACACCAAAACCAGCCCCGCCCCAGCAGGGGCCCAGTGAGAGTGGTGGCCGGGTGGGGGGACAGTCCCAGGAAGCCTGGATGGGACCAGTAGGGTGTGCCCAAATGGAGGCAGGCCAGCAGGGAGGAGATGGCCACCACAGGGGCCCAGTGCAGGGGCCAACTGCCCCCTTTGGGTGTACAGTAGCATCATGACTGACAGCCAGAAGAGGAATGGAGAGGGGCAGGAAAGAGTGTGAGGGGCAGTGGCCATAGGCAAAGGCCCAGAGGCCCTGCAGGCAGGGTAGGTGAAGGAGGCCACTAGTGTGAGTGATGGGGTGGGCAGATGACCAAGAGGGGCAGCTGGAGGGCTCGGGAGGATCTTGGGTTGCCTCTGTGTGGAGAAGGCCTGAGCCAAGCAGGGCAAGAGGCTGGTGAGGGGAGGTGGCTGTGCTGGGGCTCATGCTGGGGAGGCAGCAGTGACCAGAGCTCCTGTGTACCTACAGCCTTGCTCACTGCTGTCCCTCTGTCATCCTTGAATTTCCTGGGCTACCTCCCCAATACGCTTCCTGCTCCCAAGGCCCAGACTGCACTTTGCGGACCCACACTGGGGCACCCTGTGTTCTGGTCACCACAGAGCTCTTCTGGGCCACATAGTGGCCCCTGTGATAGCCCTGGGGCCCTGGGCTGTCCTCCTGGCTGGTTTTCTGGGAACCTTTATTGAGTGGTCTCCAGTGCTCAGCTCAACTGCATAAGGCCCTGAGCTGGAGGGGGGGTGTCAACGATTTGCACACCCCACAGAGCGGCCTCCAGGGGTCCCAGGCTGGCTGCCCCTCAGGAAAGGATGGGGCCTACACCTTCTTCCCAGCAGTACCAAGGGCCACCTTGGCCCTTCTTGGCCAGCTGACAGTCTGTCCTGTGTAGGAGCCATGCAGCTCCCCGGGCGGCTCCACCCCGGAAACTAAACCAGTCCTATGTCCTCTGGAATCAAAGCTGGACCTGGGAACCAGGAGCTGGGGAATGGCCTTCAGAATCCCCAGACCCTGGGAATTCTGCCATGGCTGGTTCTGGGCCATCCAAGGGCATAGCAGAGCCTGCCCTGGCCAGGGAAAACAGCCGCAGTCCCACAGTTGGGACCAAGCCTCCCGCTACAAGGGTCTGGGGAAACAAGTCACCTCCCCAAGGTGGGCAGGCAGAGGGCTCTCCAGGTCACCCAGTGGCAATGCCCTGGGGAGAGGGTAAGGCAGAATGGCAGAATCCCACTCCGGAAATTCCAGAGCCTTTGGAGCCAGGGGCTGGAAGGCAGACAGCTTTCCATGTGTGCCACCAACAACCTACTCAGAAGTGGGTTGTGGGGCCTTTGGGGTCCTAGGAGCTGATGGGCACACAAGCCCATTCTGGAGAGAATGCGCCCTGCTGGGTTGGGACAGTCACAGAGCTGGAGCCCCTTCCCTACCTGGGACCCGACCAGGACCAGGGTCTGTCTTGAGGGCACAGCCTCTTTAGCCACCTGCAGTGCCATGTGACCCTGAGCATCACACTCTGCCTGCTGCTGGCAGGTGAGGGTGCTGGGGTGCCCCTGGGGTGTGGGGGTGGAGGCCAAGACTCCGCCCCTAGTGGCTCTGCCCCTTAGGACTTCCTCTTCCCTCAGTTCCTCAGGTTCTTTTTCAACCCCTTAAACCTATGCTCTTGGATCAAGGATGAATGGAGCCTCATCTACGAGACCGCCCATGTGAAGAAGAACTGGATCAACCCCCTAATGAGGTGAGGCAGCTGTGTGGGTATCGGTGTGCCTGGACAGACCCTGTCCCCACTCCAGGTGCCTCATGGGCGGGGGCCTCCTCATCCCCTTCCTGCCCTGAGAAGTTCCGTGAGTCAGAAAGTGCTGTGTTAGGGTGAGAGGTTCCAAGAAGCCCCAAGCCCTCTGCTCCCCTGCCTGGGACTGGGGAACAGGCGTGCTGCAGTGCTGCAGCCAGCCGACCCAGGGCCCTCCGTGCTGGAAGCCAACTGATGGCCAGAGGTCAGATGGCAAGAATCTGCTTTCTGCTCTGGAGCCCACCCACTGAGGGGTCTGTGACAGTGTCCCCAGTCCATCAGGGCTTTCTGCAGATCCCAAGAGTGTAGGCTAGGGAGGAGTTGGGAGAGCTCAGAGCTCAGCTCCTGATGCAATAAGGTCTAAATCTGTCTCTGGTGTCCCCCGAGCCCCACTCTCAGGCCTGCCACCACAAAGCTGCTCTTGCCACCTTCCCTGCCTCCACAGGAGACCTGGGGCAAATGCAGTCACAGGCCAGGACCTGAGGCAAAACTGTCAGCATAGTTGCTCCGCCATGGGAGTTCCCACTGGGACCAGGACACAGCTGGGGTTCCCCAGGGAAACCAGACCTTGGGGCAGCCCAACAGAACTCTTCCGAGCACACCCTCTCCAGAGCACCCATTCCCGAGGCTGCGTGGAGGGCAGTTGGGCTCCCTGCAGGGGATATGGCCCTAGCGCCACCTGACTCCTGCAGCTCCCTCCACCTGTCACGAAAGAGCCACTCCGGAATGTTCCTTTTCCACTGCCAGCTTCCTTTCCTAGCTCCTGACTTCCTCCATCTGTGCCATCTGCTCTGTCCCAGATCAGCTCCCTCTAGGTCCCGCCTGCCACTTGTCCGCAGAGCCTCCCAGCTTCCTGCTGTGGGATGTCCCTGGCCTCCAGATGCCTTCCTGTCAGTGCCTCTGGGGCTGTTCTTTTCATCTTGCAAGGGGAGTGCTGACACCAAGTCATGGGGGTATGCCTAGACTGTGTCTGAGAGAAGTAGAAGGGCTTTGGGCCCCTCACCACTCTCAGCCTGTTGGAGGCCTCAGTGCTTGGGGGTCCTCCAGATTCTAGGGCCACCTTGTTGACCCAGGGACTCCACTTTTGCCTTCAAGATGGCAGCCAGAGATCCAAGAGCTTGTTGATCAACTGGAGGGAGTGTCAGCTAGTCAAACTGCTATCTTCAAGACCAAGGCCAAGGTCACAGAGCCCAAGGAATTCAACCTGACTACACCCAGGCCCCGGGCCATTCCAGTACCTGAGCCAGTCCCCACCATGGCCAAGCCAAGACAAGTGAGTTGGGCATGTACAGTGGGTACAGGCTGGGATCCTCCAGGGCCAAGAGTGCACTGGACCAGGCCAGGATCATTCCAACACCCCTAAACCCCATGGAGAAGCCAGCCAGCTGGCCTGGAGATCACCACATTCTTGGGTCCAAGCTATCAGGCTTGGACTGTTATGCTCGAATTCGGGACCCCCAAAGACCACCAGAGACCCAAGATCGATGCAAGCAGCAAAGAGGTGTTTATTGCGAGCTAGCTCGGTCCTCCGCGCACACACACAGCAACTGGTGACGCTGAGAGGCCCCAGCCCAGGGTTTGCAGCAGTTTTATACATTCTTTGGAGAGGGCAGGGACTTCACATACATCATAGCATCTCTTAGCAAATCATCACACACTGCGGGAAAATCAAATAACAACTCTAAAACATGATTAGCACATTCACTGGCGGGAACAAGTTAGGTAGGGGTGATTGGTCAGTACAAAAGGGGTACTCGTTTGAACTGATTGGTTTAAGCCAAGAGGGGAGTACGTGCTGAACTACATGGTTTCCCAACATGTTATCAACCACCATAAACTACTGGGAGGGTCATCTGGCATCCCAGGTATTTCCCTGTCTCATGCTGATTGGTGGCTGCTAGGGGGCTGCTATGGGTCCCCACCTAGCCTGACTGAGTCAGGGACACCTGGCGCAGCAGATCTCTCCTGTTATTTGTAGATAAGCACATTCCCACCCTGCTAAGTTGTTTAGGAGTGCTCTGTGGGTTTTTCCAAGGACTAAGGTCATGTCCCTTCCTTGGACAGGCTTTGCTCTGAGGTAGAGGCTGGTTTTTCAGAACTAGACTTATCTGGAGGTGAAATATGAAGTATCTATCCAGACCTATCTGGAGGTGGAGCTTGAAGCCCACATTGAGCCCTAGGGCAATATGCCACCCTTCCTGTTAGCTACTCCATGTGCAGATCACAGTGCACATGCTCTTGGGGCCATTGGAAGGCAATAACATCTGTCATGCCTGTCTCCGCCTCCACACCTCATCTGTTTCATCAGCTGAAGGCCTCTCCATCGCCCCTTCCACCTCTCTGGCTTATCAGTCAGGATGCTCTTGACAGCAAGTAATGGGAAATGTAGTTCAAACTGGCTTAGACAATACACTTCTCATTGGCTGATTCTTATGGCCAAAGTAGGATAGCCTTCAGGCATAGTTTGATTAGGATTCCAACTCTGCTTCTCTATGACCTTCTATTGTTATGCTCGAATTCGGGACCCCCAAAAGACCACCAGAGACCAAGATCAATGTAAACAGCAAAGAGGTGTTTATTGCGAGCTAGCTCAGTCCTCCGCAGGCACACACAGCAACTGGTGACGCTGAGAGGCCCTGAGCCCAGGGTTTGCAGCAGTTTTATACATTCTTTGGGGAAGGCAGGAACTTCACATACATCATAGCATCTCTTAGCAAATCATCACACACCGCGGGAAAATCAAATAACAACTCTAAAACATGATTAGTACATTCACTGGTGGGAACAAGTTGGGTAGGGGTGATTGGTCAGTACAAAGGGGGTATTCATTTGAACTGATTGGTTTAAGCCAAGAGGGGTGTTCATGCTGAACTACGTGGCTTCCCAACAGTCAGGGACACCTGGCACAGCAGATCTCTCCTGTTATTTGTAGATAAACAACTTAGCAGGTTGGGAATGTGCCTAGGAGTGCTCTGAGGGTCTTTCCAAGGACAAAGGTCATGTCCCTTCCTTGTTCAGGCTTTGCTCTGAGGCAGAGGCTGGTTTTTCACTATTCTAGTTTCCCCTGTAAGTCAACTTCATCTTTGGGCTAACTTCCTTTGTTGTTAAAAATCCATGTTTCATACCCACAGTCTATACCATCCAGGTCATAAGAGAATATCTTGCGCCAAAACTTCCCTAGAAAAATCTGATTGGATCAGTTCAGGTTTCATGCATGCCTTTGTTACCGATGTTTACCTCAGTGTTGAAGTATAACACCAGTGAAGCACAAGGAGGCAAGTTTAGAGTGGAAAGTAGAAGTCTATTAAAGGACAGTAGAAAAGACTTCTCCCGGGAAGAAGAAGGGGATCAAGAGGTGGAATCCGCGGAAGGCGGATGTCTTCCCCTTTTTATAGCTAAGGTCTTCTTTCAGCTTTCCCTCATTCCTGTCCTTTGTTCTGTTATCTTTCAGTGAAGGCCCAAAGGGTGGAGGACAGGTGGGCCGAAGGAGTAATCTGGGCAGGGAGGGCTTTTGGATTGGCATCTCCTTGTTTGCTGGGAGCTGCTTCATTAACATTTCCTTGGGATGGGCTCAGGGCCTTGGGGACATTTTCAATTCCCCCTAGTGCTGCTCTGGTTTCCTGGACTCCATTTTCTATAATGGCCTCCACTCTTTTTTTTTTAATTTTTTTTTAGAGAGAGAGAATTTTTTAATATTTATTTTTTAGTTTACGGCGGACACAACATCTTTGTTTGTAAGTGGTGCTGAGGATCGAACCCGGGCTGCACGCATGCCAGGCGAGCGCGCTACCGCTTGAGCCACATCCCCAGCCCTCCACTCTTGATTTTACTCAATATTAGACCCGATTTACCTAACTACATAACTACCTATCTATAAATGTGGCTCACCTTGATCTGGTTTCGGTCATCAGGAGTGTGACGGCCTTGAGCTCTTCTCAAGCTTTGGCCATGTGCTCAGCCTCCCAGATCAAATCTAATTCTCCAACAGGACTACGGGGTGTAAGGAAGAGTAAGAGGACAGTGCGGGGAGGTCCCATCCTACCTTCCTTCAGGTCTCATTAAAATCTCTTTTTCTTTCTTTTTTTAAATATTTATTTATTTGTTTAGTGGTAGTTGAACACAGCATCTTTATTATTTATTTATGTTCATTTGATGCTGAGGATTGAACTCAGCCTTGCACGTTCGAGGCGAATGCTCTACCACTGAGCCACAACCCCATCCCCTCATCCATTTATTTCACCAGACCTCATCCATTTTATTTGTCCTACGTTTTAATGCTACCAACATAGTGCTGGCTCAGAGCAGACCCTCAGTAAATACTTGTTGAATGGATGGATGGATGATCAGATGGATAGGTGGATGGATTAATGGATGAATGGATTGATGATGAATGGGTGGCGTTTTAGTCAGATTTTTTTGTTGCTATGACTAAAGGACCCGACCAAAACAACTGTAAAGTAGGAAAGGTTTATTTGGGGGCTCACAGTTTTAGAAGTCTTAGTCCATAGAAGGCCAGTTCCATTCCTCCTAGTCCGTAGAAGGCTGGATTCATTCCTCAGGGCTCCAGGTGAGGCAGAACATCATGGTGGAAGGTTGTGGCAAAGGGAAACAGCTCATATCATGATCAGAAAGCACAGAGAGTGAATTTCTACTCTCCAGATACAAAATACATACCCCAAAGTCCCACTTCCTCCAGCCACACCCTACCACTTCAGTTACCACTGTTAATCCCTAACAAGGATTAATTCACTGATTGAGATAAGACTCTTATAACCCAATCATTTCTTCTCTGAATACATGTGAGCTTTGATTTTACTCGATATTAGACCCGATTTACCTAACTACACTAACTACCTCACATCCAAACCATAACAGGTGGTTAGATGGATGGATAGCTAGATAGACAGGCATGGGCAGATAGATGATCAGGGACCTTGTTGTTAAACAAGTTACCCCACCTGCAGGATCTTTGGCATTCCTGACCCCATCTCTCCAGGGATCCATGTCTTTTTCTCAGGTCATGGGGCCCTCTGCTCCTCTCTCTCTCTCTCTCTCTCTCCCTCCCTCCCTCCCTCCCTCCCCCCTCCCCCCCCACATGGCACAGCTCCTGCCCTGCTCCTCCACATGCTGGTTCCTGTTCTCTCTGTGTCTCTCAGCACAAGTGGTAAGCTATTGGGGGACATTTGCCTTCCCTGCAGCGCTGTAGGCTTCTTCCTTCTAGTTGCCTCCCCCACCCCCCACCCCCACCCCGTTCCTTCTCAGGACGTCCTTTCCCCTCCCAAGCCAAGGCCTCTCCAATTCACTCACTCACCTGTTCAGCAGTTACAGCATGCCTAGGATGTGCCGGGCACCATGCCTTCCTGAGCTGGCTCTCCCACTGGGACCCTGACAAAATACCAGGATGAAGAAAAGTCATGGTGTATTAGCTGGTGACAAGTGCTTAGGAGAAAGCTACATGGGGCAAGGAGACAGGAAACATTGAAGCATTTGTGACTCCAGGTAGTAAGGGCTGGAAGGAGCAAGTGGGCCAGGGGTTGTCAAGGAAAGAACAGACCATGAGCAAAGGCCCTGGGAGAGCGTCTTCCTCCCTCAAGTGTTGGAGGACATCCAGGAGGGGCAGGGAAGGGAGGAAGCGGGCTAGTCACACACCTACTGGCTGGAACAGACTCAGGACACAAGCCAAGTTAGGCCAGTGCCAGCACAAGTCCCCTCCGGCTGCCGTGGCTGAGGAGGGAAGTGACAGGCAGTTTGTGGAGAAGCAGAAGGGCAAGACTGGATATGGGTGCGAGTAGGATAGCCTTCGAGGATAACTCTGAGGCCTTGACCAGGGCTCAGGGCAGACAGCATCAGGATCCAGGTCTGCAAGGCTGGGGTTGGGAGGGCTGGGGGAAGACGAGGGCTCCAGCTGGACACCGCTGAGTCTGTGGAGCCTGCGAGACTAGGAAGGAGGTGGGAGCGAGGATTCTGGAGTTCAGGGGTATCCAGGCTGGCTTTGGTCTGCCTCCTGATGGACAGGACTCCTGGCAGGTTATGGAGAGCCTCCTATGGCTGAACCCAGCAGAGGTGCCCAAGGCTACCCTGGTCACTGCAGGATCCCTCAGGGGCAGCCCACTCTTCTGGAGTCCATGACATTCTCCCAGCCCTCTGTTTAGTCACCGTCTATATGTTCCCTCACTCTGGGGAGCTGGCAGCACCCCCATCTTGCTCCCTGCTGATCCTGGCCATCTCATCCAGGCCAGCAACGTGCCCTCAGTGCTGCTGACCTCACTTCTGCCTCTGCCCACCCCCATCCCATACTCCAAACCCCACACCAACTCCTGGCCTGAGCATGTCCCTCCCGACCAGCACCCAGGGTCCCAGGCAGGGCTCCGCAGGTCCTGCTGCAGCCCCACTTCTCTTGGGGCCCAGGTCACCATTCGCTATCCTGTTACTGGCACCACCCACCCCTTTGCCCACCCTGTGGTCACATGCAAATGCCAAAATCCTTTTCAATGCCAAAATGCTGGTTTTGCTAGACCCCTCTAAATCACAGGCACTGACCAAAGATTCTCCCTCCCACCACCCCACCAGGTCCCTCGGAGTACCTACCAGGAGCCCAAGGAGCAACAGCAGCTGCAGATCATCAAGAGGCACAACCGCCTGAAGGCCGAGGTGGCCACACGTGTCCTCTGCCTCTCTAGAGGCCCCATCAGGACCTGTTAGGAGAGGGGGAAAGTGGGACAAGCAGGAGGAGGATGGGAGATGATGGCTAGGCACGCGTGGTAGAAGCTGGCAGAGCAGGAGCTGTGTTCTGTCTCGGCAGGAGCTGCTGCTGAGGGCGAACGTGGAGGAACTGCGGTGCGCCATGCCCAGGGCACACAGAGCGCCGCCTGAGCAGGTAACAGTGGCCCTTCAGACCCAAGGCCAGTCTGCATGACAGCAAGGAAAGCTCCTTCTGCCAGGTGTGGTGGCCACATCTATGATCCCAGGGAGGATCTCAAGTCCAAGACCAGCCTGGGCAATGGAGCGAGACCCTGTCTCATGATAAAATTTTAGAAAGGGCTGGGGTATACCAAGAAAATCATTTTCAATGCCAAAATGCCAACATGATGACACACTAATTGAGCCCTTTCCCACCATGGGCAGATTCCCAGTAACAGCGGGAGTGACCCTGGAGCCCCGCAGAGTGGGCAGGATAGGACCCACCCTGAGGCACAGGAGGAAGGAAGCACAGGGGAGGAAACAGCCTGGCTGCCATCTCTGGGCTTCCAGGTGCCTCTGAGCATGTCACACTTCTACATGACAAGACAAGCCAGGGATGTTGGCCAGGGAGAAAAAGCAAAGGGACAGGAGACGGAGAGTTTCATCTGCAGGAACGCATTCTGGAGCACAGGCAGTCCCTCCGCAGCAGCAGGGCGGGCCCAGGCCCCGTGTCCCCACAGCGGCATGCCCAGGGGCAACCACAGTCTTCTACCCCCACACTGTGGCTCATCATGCCCCTGCCAGCTGGATCAGCAGGACCGCAGGAGGTTGGGCAGGGGACAGAGACTCAGGGTGCTGCCCAGGAAAGGGCATGGGGCTGTGAGACCTCACACCTGGGGGAGCTAAAGAGTAGGACATTGAGCCCTAAGGCCCAGTTGCCCCATCTTGGGACCACTGACCCCAGGCCCAGCAGGCCCTGCATCTTCCTTGCCCCCACCTGGGCAGTCCAGTGCCTCAGAAGACCTAGGAGAACACTGAAGGCAGATGCTGCCCTGGGGACCAGGGTGGGAACACTGGAGTTGGACAAAGGGGAGTGAGCTGGGTTTTCTAGGCATGCTGGGCCAGCGTCCACCCAGGAGGTCTGGGGGCACTTAGAGGGCACAGGTGCCAGGCTATGCCTCTGCCTGACTTCTGCAGGACTCCAAGAAGAAGCTGGGGTGCCCAACCCACATCCAAAAATCCCCAAAGCTGACCTTCTACAGGGTAAGGAGCACTCCTGGCCAGTCAGGCCTCCCTGGCACCCCCCCACCCAATACTTCCCAATACCTGTTCTGCCCCTGTAAGCTCTGAGGGTAGGAACTGGGGGACCCAGGGGCCCTGAGGATGGCCTTGCCCTAGAGGCAGAGGGAAGTACTTGAGTAAGGGCAAGTGGGTAGGGCACGATGGAGGGCACTGGCTGCCCCTGAGTGCCCCCAACTAGCCCCTCCCTCTCCTGCAGCCTGACAATATCCCTATCAAGTTGAACACTGCTGCCATCCTGCGAGAAGGGGCCTTGTACCAGAAGCAGGTGGAAAAAGAGCTGCAGAGGTGAGGGACTGGTGGGGACTACAGCTTCCCTGTGGCCCTCTGCCAGTCTTGCTCTGTGCCACCCTTGAGAGCAGAGGCTGGAGGAGAGGCCTGGTGGCTGGGCAGCTCAGTGGAGAAGGGGTCTGGGGTACTAAAGATGTTGAAGGGAAAAGCAAACTCAGTTTCTCCTGCATTCTCACACTACAACACTTGTGGTGCCCACCAAGCAAGCAATGCTGCCACCATGGACACAGCTGGGTGTCCTCCAACTCAGTTCTGCTCTGACGCTACACAGCATCACGTAGAGAGAAAACCCAGGGGTACTCTTACCTTGGTGCAGTCATGCAGTATCGTGCCCCAACCTCATCCCAGATCCACCTAGGCAGAAGAAAACCCAGTGGGACACTCCTTCAGGCCCACTCACATGAGTATGAGCATAGTGTCCCTTCCTGCCTGGGTCTGGCTCTCCAGACAGCTACATGCAGGCCCCTACCCACCCAGGGCTCAGGGCCTCCCGCAGTCTGCCTCTCTTGCTGGCAGACAAAGCAGTTCTTTGGGCACTGATGACCCAGTAGCAGTAGAAAGGAAGCTAAGGCAAGGAGTGTGAACCCAGGCCTAGGTTTAACTGGGGAAGCGGGGTACGGTCCAGGAAAGGGGAGACAGTCCTGGGAGCAAGACATCAGGCTGCCCTGAGCAAAGGAAGGGCCAGCTTTTTATCAGGTTACTGTGCAGAGCTAGGGTCTGGCATCTCTCACTCATCGTGTGTGTGTGTGTGTGTGTGTGTGTGTGTGTGTTAAAGAATTCCCTCCTTGTAGAGGACTTGGATCCTTAGTTGCTTAGTTTACTCAGAGACACCAATATCTGGCTTTTATGGTGCATCTGGTCTTATGGTCATCTTGGACCTTGCAATAAGATTGTTGAGAAAAGTTAGGGGGAGGGAGAAAGGGAAATGCTGCCAATTTTAAGGAATGACGAGGTGGGGCTTGAGGCCTCAGCGTTTCTCTATCCTTTCCACATACCATATTTTTAGGGATGATAGGTGAATTATGGCCTGAGTGTCCCCCTCTGTCCCTGTAGTGGTCCCTGACTGGCTGCTAGACAGCCATGTCTGCTCTGCTGCCGCTCCCCACATCCTCTCATTTTGTGGACCCAGGTGGCCACCTAAGCTGAGCACATGGGACATCTGCTTGTCATTCAGTCACTGTGCAGACTTGCAAGGGAGCTCTTCTGATGTGTCGCGTCCCACTAATGAGCTCCCCAGAGTTCCACAGGCCATGCCCCAGTCAGACATCCCTTTGATAGGTCCTATTGCCCTTCTGCCTGACCATGTGACCAGGCCCTGGGCCACTGCCTGCAAGCCAGCCAAGACCTAAACAGGGGTCCCTCCCTTGTCCAGTTCTTCAACTGCAGTCCAACCCACCGGGAGGACTCCTTCCCGTCTCCAGTTAGAGCAGTGTCTTTCCAAACCTGCTGCCCGCCTGGTTCCTCCTCTTGGAACTGCTGCCCACACACCAGACAGCTCCTGCTCAACCAGCCAAGAGCTATCCACAAGGTACTGTGGGACTCAGCAGTCCCTCACCCAGGCCAGCCAGCCCTTGGGGAAAGAGGCCCATTTAACAGTACCCCCACTGATTCCCTGGGGGGCACCGGGGGTATGACCCTGTAAAAAACCACCTCTATTTCTTTTTCTTTTTTTTTTTTTTTTGAGAGAGAGAATTTTAATATTTATTTTTTTAGTTTTCAGTGGACACAACATCTTTGTATGTGGTGCTGAGGATCGAACCCGAGCCGCACGCATGCCAGGCGAGCGCGCTACCGCTTGAGCCACATCCCCAGCCCCCATCTCTATTTCATTATGGAACACTGCTGGGTGCTACCACCCGAGACAGCATTTCTCCAATGTTGCATAGAAAATTTGGCATGAATAGGTGCTTTTTTTAATATTAATTTTTTAGCTTTAGGTGGACACAATATCTTTATTTTACATTTATGTGGTGCTAAGGATCGAACCCAGTGCCTTGTGCATGCTAGGTGAGCGCTCTACCACTGAGCCACAACCCCAGCCCCTGAATAGGTGCTTTTTATCAATTTGTTCCTTATACTGATGCCTGGCAGGGGAGGTTGTTAACTTGTGGGATCATCACCTTGGCATCTGTACTCAAAATAGAATAGCTTGTGGCAAACCACTACTTTACAAAATAAGGTCATTCAGGACAGACACAGCCTGAGGACTGCTGTCCTGCACACCATGGAGTCACCAGGGCAGGCGCAGCCTGAGGACTGCTGTCCCATACACCATGGAGTCACTCAGGGCAGGCACAGCCTGAGGACTGCTGTCCCGTACACCATGGAGTCACCAGGGCAGGCGCAGCCTGAGGACTGCTGTCCT